CCCCCCTTTTTTTTTAATAGACAGAACTCTTTTGAGACTTCCCAGCCTAAGTTTATTAATAGTCAATTTATATGCACTTGATATCATACCTGCATTGTCATTTAATGGAAAGAATTATTCTTCTTCCTTCCTAGTTCCTCCTGAGTGTTTCTACAGAGGGCTGACACATTGCCTCCCTACCTCCATTTCACCAAACCAACCAAACTCTTTTAATCTCCTCTTAAGACGGTCTCTCCCTCTACCATTCAGCAACTTTTCCAATTTAGGTTCCATTTCTTTTCTGGGTCATCAGAGCTGCAGGCAGTACCTTGCAGAACATCTAACCAATGCCTCTGGCAATGGTGCCAGCACTTCCCTGTCTCTACTGAAACCAGCTTGCCAGGTGCATCCTAAAGTCACATCTTTTTTTTTTTTTTTTGGTAAATAGTAAATTTATTCAGAAAAAGATGTCTGAGAGGTCCAAAGCTACCTGGCTAGATGAGAACATATCTAGTGAACACTGCTAGCTAAACAACATATGGGGAAAACGTTCAGAGCCAGTAACTACTGTTTGTTAATAGAATACTCTATTTTATAAACATGGATGTTCCCCTTCGCCTTTTACAAAACAAAAATATCCTGAAGACAGAACAAAACATTTGAGGTTAGAAAACGATTTCAAGAAGGCTCAAACTGAAGTGCTTCTGGATTGCCAGAAACAAAACAAAACCTCACAAAATGCGGTCTCAAGCTAAACCAGAATCTTTCTTGTTTTTTCTGTTCATCCTCCAAACTAAAAAGTCCACTATTTCTCCTGATTTTGTTCTCAGATTACAGGCTCGCAGTGATCTCTTCAGCATCCTATTGCCAAGTGATGTGACAGCCGATATCTGAAAGCCATCTAGAGTAGTGCATTGCTTTGCTCAAGGGAGGCGAAACGCATTCTGCATGAGCCCTTTCCAGATAGACAGGAATACTTAATGCAGGGCTAAGTCCTGCTCTGTTTTTACATAGAATGATCATTACCCCAGCTCTACACCTCTTTTGAGGAATCTGTTCAATGAAAAACTCAAGTAATGCTGAAAGCTGGTTCCCCAGTCTTTCTTCCCCCTCCTATTAAGAAAAAAGAAAGGCTTAAAGAGGCAAGTAAAGAGAGGGCAATGGCTCAACCAGAACTCCTGTGATCAGCCTCTCCAGAATATAAGCAACGCTTGAGATCAGGGATTTTAATTTGTATCTGTTAAAAACATCAAGTCATTCCTGAATGTTGCCAAGAGCCTGGAAGATTTTATAGCTGTTCTCCAGTTGTCCTGAGGCAGACAGATTATCTTTCTGCTGAGTTTGCTGAACCATTATTTATCACCTGCCAAGACTGATTACTCACCCTCGGGACAATGACAAGTCTTTCCTTCCTCTGTTAATTACTGTCATCATTAATAGCCATGTCACTAATTAATATTCAATCATAATGAAAACTCTTTACTGCTATCTTCCACAACACCTTCAGTTTTTAGGGTTACCCTCACACATTGGCTTTGCCTCTGCTTGCAGCTGTTTCTATCACAGCAAGCTACTTTTGCCCACCTAGAAATACTACTTATGCCCTTCCTCAAATGAGAAAATTCAGATTTATCCTTGTAAGACATGGTGAAGACTTGAGGGAATCCTTTACAAGACTCTCCTCTGCCAGACCAAGATGCAGATTCCTTTATCAGTAAGTTTTCCAGAAAATGTTACCTTAACCTCTCCTGTAGGTTAAGCCCAATGGACGGTCCTCGCATAACTCACCTTCCCAGAAAGATCTTTTCTGGCTGACTTTCAGATGCCACATTTCACAAGCTCTTTCAGAGGACACCAGAGGGAAACCCTTGACCCTGACATATTTCCACTGAACACTAACAGGGCATTTGAGATCTTCCGAAAACAAATAGATGGGTGTGTTTTCATAATAGAAAGTGTTGCTGGATCCAGGTAGAGGAATGGCTCTCATCTCCTCTATGCTCCTCTCCATACATCTACCCTTCCTCTGAGTCAGCACACTCAGTTCAAGGATAGTCAACAGCCTGTGAACATCTATTTCCTCCTCACCTATAATGAAATATATCTTTTTGCTTTAGGCTCTTCTTTGAAGCTGAAGTAGATTAAGTTGCTTAATACCAACACAATAGCTGTATTTCTATGTGCAAACAGATTCACAGTGACCATTTATCCAGCTACCTGGTTTAGAGACAGACTAGCAGTTTTATATTTCTTGCTATTTTCTCCATTTTGTTCGGCCTCAGTGATCCCATAATAGTAGCTAGTGTTCTCAGAAGGCCATTGCCTGTCAACATGACAAATGAGTGGCCAGCCGTGAAAAGATAAATTAAAAAAAAGTTCACAAGGTGTGAGGCCATCGGCAAGATGCAGTTAATGAGGTGAGTCACCACCACCACTGTATTTGATACCTTTTCTACTCACCCTAAGTTGTTCTACCTCTTCCAGAAAATCCAGGACTCGCTTGGAAAATGAGGAGCCATCTATAATCAGATTCGCCCATCTTCCACGCGCTGTGTGAAATGGCAAAGGCAGACAGAACAACACACCCCACTGCAGCAATTTCTAAAGATCTGCTGCCCGGAGTGGAGACTATGTCGCTGGTTCTGGGCAAAGGAGCCAGGACCACCAGGGCTGGCTTGTCGTCCAGCGGACTGGGCACGTCCCTGACAAGGCACACGTATATACATACGCACACATATATATGTATACAAATAAATACACATGACTGTTTCTGAAGCTTCAGCAAATGTGCATCTTTGTGCGTTTTTTAGGCCTGATAAGACAACCGTGTTTTTTGCTGAGTGTCCTGAGGTAGCAGAGATGGCAAGCACTGACGAGTGGAGCTCCACAGGGATTTGACGTGGGCTGTCTCATGTTGCCCAGGTGTGGCATCAGTGACCAAGGACTAAGTCTGTCCTTTCTCATGGGAGTTGCTAAGCCGAGCCCTGATCACTGGATGCCATCCAGCAGCTACAGCT